GTCACTTTCCTCCTCCCCTCTCCTGTCTCAATACACAAACAAATACAGACAGACAGACACACACACACACACACACACACACACACACACACACACACACACACACACACACACACACACACACACACAACCCTTCCGTCCAACCCCTCTTGACGTCCCCGCCCCAGCAGAGCGGCAGCGCCCTCTCCCCGATGCCCGTCTTGTCACCCCCGTCTCGTGCCACCTTCCGAACAAGAGACGAGCGGCAAGGGGCGTGGGCGCGGGCGGGCGCGGTGGCGGGCGGGCACGGTGGCGGGCGCGGCGCAGGTGAAGACGCCCGCCAGAGAAGCCAAAAATGCCTGGGAAGACATCCAGGATGTGCCGCACAGAGTACATCAAACAGGTCGGCTGAGTGACGTACTTGGCGCCGCCCAAACACTCGGCAGTTAGAGGCTCGAAGATCCACCCGACGAGAACTATCCAAACTTATCCGAGACATTCGAATGCCATTGGACACTTACAGAGTTAAATAAAAGAAAATTTTAAATAGCATTTGTTATTCAAATGCGCATCTTGAGCTCTGATTTATAAACTGGCCGCTGAGTGTTGCGCAAGGACATCAAGAGAGGGCGCCGCAATAAAGCGGGTGGTATGGGCGCCCAAGAGTGCGGCGTGGGCGCGGGCGCGGGTGCGTGGAGGGCGAGCGGGCGGCGCATACAAAGGGCGGAGAAGGGCAGCGCAGCAAAGGAAAGAGGCTCGGGCGACAGCAACCCGAGGCAGAGGGCGGGGCGCGGGGTGTGGCGGGGCACGAGGTGGGCGCAGACCACACAGAACTTCGACTGTCCAGTCTGCGTCTTCCTTTTGTCCTCACACAAGCCCAGTGTTGAGCCGCAGCGTATTATAAATTATCGCCACTCACACGGAGCACAACAAGGGCGCAAGTGTGCAGGCTCCGGTGCGAACCACTCCGTTTCACCTCTGTCCCTTTGCGCTCACGAATTCCTTTCGGCGCCCTTTCAGCCCAAGGGCGGGCGGGTCGCTCGAACCTCACCTGCTTTCAATAAAAGAAAATCCAGTCGCTCCCCCTTGTGGGCTGGGCGCTCTCCTCCTCTTCAAACTTGGCTTCCCCTCTTTATACTAAAATGACCAAAAGATCCTTCATGCTGCAATATCACAATTCACAACGACGCCGCCTCGAAGAACCCACGAGGCGGTTCAACACAAAACCGGGATTTACAGCGCAGCTCCCTCGGCCGCCTCGACGCACTCTTATTCCACCCTCCGAACTTCAGGCCAAAAAAAAACAAGTCCGCGTCGGCTGAGTTCCTGTTACTAGTCGTGCCTTCAAAGCTAGAGTACCCGCCCGAAAAAAAAACTTAGAAGCAGAGTGGACATACACACACACACACACACACACACACACACACACACACACACACAACACACACACAACACACACACACACCACACACACACACACACACACACACACACACACACACACACACACACACACACACAACACACACACACACACACACACACACACACACACACACACACACACATACACACACACACAAAAAAAAAAAAAAAAAAAAAAAAAAAAAAAAAAACGGTAAAATGGAACACGGGGGCCTTCTTTGCGTGTGAAGCGACATGAAAACAGAACTTTTTGCTTAGCTCTTTCAGCGAATATAAAATCTTCAGCTGGTTCCGCAACCAACTCGTATTTGTGGGTATTTTCAGTGTGTGTGTGTGTGTGTGTGTGTGTGTGGTGTGTGTGTGTGTGTTGTTGTGTGTGTGTGTGTGTGTGTGTGTGTGTGTGTGTGTGTGTGAGAGAGAGAGAGAGAAGAGAGAGAGAGAGAGAGAGAGAGAGAAGAGAGAGAGAAAAGAGAAGAGAGAGAGAGAGAGAGAGAGAGAGAGAGAAGAGAAAGAGAAGAGAAAGAGAAAGAGAGTGAGTGTGCATAATCTCACATGCCTGTCTCCCCAACGCCATGACTACCTTAAGAAAACAAAAGATAAGAAAACTTAGTTATTCCAGCATTAGAGTGACTTTCGTGACCATCATCTGGTTTGTTAAAATTGTTAAAATATAAAAAATAATATTTTAACTATCTGTCTATGCGGTAGATTTGCAAGTGTAGACTGACAGATACTCATATATTTCACTGTATATGCGCGTCCGTATAATGAATGTTTATTGGTTGGGACTCAACTTTGACAAACCGGCCGCAGGTCTTCGAAACTTTTTGTTCAGGCCAATGTTCCAGCACCGAGGTATTCCCTTATCCTCAACTTACATTAAGGTTGAACTTGAGGTACAGCCAAGACGTTCCTTTTCTGCGTCTCACTTCCGTTTTTTTCATTCATAAATTATTTCCCATGTGTACCTAAATTTATGTACGAGTGCGGGCGCCCTTGGATGTACACATAGGGCAGGATTCACTAACATACGATCGCAACGCATTTACCAGCGGTCATTTACCATTGCGTTTACCAGTGATGGCAAAGCGGGATTCGCGAAGTAATGGAAATACCCATCGACTGAATTACAATCGTAAATCGACTCATTCTAATAGCAACCACCAGAGGGCTCTAGTGAAGCAATGCCACCAATCAGCAAGCGCCATACACAATTCTTTAGGTTCCTTCGGCCAATCATGTAACATGTAAACAGACCTAAACACAGCGAGTTTTTAAAAATCACTGTCACAGTTCAACATTTTAGCATATACTGAAAAAATGAATCTATTCAATCTTATCCATCACGTGGACTGTTAAGAGACCTGGTTATTTATCGTATAAATAGGAACTAATAGAAACACTGTTAAATTAAGGTATCATTATTTAACGGAAACCAAAGAGGCAATCCAAACAGTTTTTATTCTATATTCATTTCTCATCATTGTTAAATATAGAACCTGGCCAAACACATTTGTTATTAATCGCCATTTATCGTCAAATAAAAGAAATATTTCAAGCTCATTCTTGCTCATGCGATTCGGAGTTTGTCTTTCTTTGCCAAAATGCCGACAAACACAGTTGCTATACTTGTTTAACTTGTTTAGCATTTAAAGTTTATATATCAGCAAGGAAGTTTTTCGATAAATTCATTATAATTATATAAGAGAAGAAGAATCCATTATATATCCATTCCATGCACTCGACAGTCTATGTCTATGTATAACTTAACGAGAATTTGTGTGGTTTATTCTTGCTAGTCTCATGTGAAATTTGCATTTTTTTTCGCCATGTCGATATTGTGATATTTGTTTGCCATCATACTAATTTTATCAGGCATAAACACAAACCAAAAACTTCGCTTAATTATTGATTTCTGGACGAGATAACACGTGATGACATCGTCGAAAAGGTCTGAAGTTGCCAGCGCTCCGACCACTAGTAAAATTCACCATGGTAACTCTTATGGCAAACTGTTAGTGAATACCACCGCTGTCTGGTTACCGTGGCAACTATAGTTACCACAGATTTTACCATTGTAAGTCCGTTAGTGAATCCGGCCCCTGCATGGTATTGGGCTATATGCATTATGTAATTGTAGGCCTGTGAGCATTACGCATTAAATATGTTCCGTGTTTTTTTTATTAATCGCCATTTATCGTATTATCGCATTATATATGTCCCATGTCTAAAATACGCAATACGCGCCTAATGAAGCATATACAATATCGATCTTTGTAGGGGGTAGTTAGGTCACGTGATCAGAATTGTAATAGGCTGATATCAAATCAGTAAAGATAGTGTGAGCAAATGGTACCATGGACCGGTTCCCAATGTATGTACAGTATGTCCATATGAATGTATGTATGACTCGTGTGTGTGTGTGTGTGTGTGTGTGTGTGTGTGTGTGTGTGTGTGTGTGTGTGTGTGTGTGTGTGTGTGTGTGTGTGTGTGTGTGTTGTGTGTGTGTGTGTGTGTGTGTGTGTGTGTGTGTGTGTGTGTGTGTGTGTGTGTGTGTGTGTGTGTGTGTGTGTGTGTGTGTGTGTGTGTGTGTGTGTGTGTGTGTGTGTGTGTGTGTGCGTACTAACACACTGACACACACACACACACAGCGTTCTATATAAATAATTCTGGCGATTTCCTCAGGAAGTAAGCACGAGCCATCTCTCCGCCATCAGCAAATCAATGTCTCACAAAGTCCGATCAAGGAGAGCCGAGCGACGTCCACTCATCCCACCTGCCAGAGCCAGCTGGGATGAGCCCAGGGGCGTGTCCTCAACGCCGCCCGCGAAGGAATCCAAGGCCTGATTCCTTCCGTCGGCGGTCGGGAACGGCGTCGGGCCGGCACGCTCCGGTCATGGAATATTCTATCTTACGGCAGCGTCAGGTGAACCTTAGCAACCGGCAACAACAATATCCCGCTCCCGCCGAGAGCGCGCGCGCTCTTGTGTACGTAAACTGAGGACCGGTGGACAGGGGTCGCTTGTTTGACCATGCCGGTGTTGGGAGACAGACATCCATTTATTCAATAAGCATACTTGTGAAACGATTCACGAGGGGGAAAGAAATGGTTATAAATATACTTTGGTATCGATAATGTTCGAGAATGCCACCTTTTGCCCCGTGTGCGTGACATCTGATCCTGACAGGTAGTCATGGCTGGCTGGCTGCTCGCCCCGAGCCCTCTGTCCCCACAACAGCCCCAGTTGTCTTGCCCAGGGTTTGCCACACCGCTAAGTGCCCACAAGGCAGAATAACAATCAACTTCATTCATCCGAAAGAGGCAGCCCCTGAAGGTGCTTGGCCCAACTATGAAATAAAAGCGGACGCTGCGATGCGGCTTCTGTCCCGCCCGAACGGCCGCGACCCCGCGCGCCCAGCACACACCAAGGGGCGAGGAGGGGTGCGAAGGGCTAAGCAGACGAACCGATAAAAGGCGCAACACGCCGCCTGCCTCGCCGCCCCTCACCTCTACTTCCTCCCATTGATCCCTCCCCCACAAGGTCGCCCGAGACTGAATGAATGGCACGGCTGACGGCGCCCAAACAACGCAAGTACTAGATGACCACTGGGCACCACTGGGCACCACCGGGGATCGCCAAAGCTCCGCCATCCTTGCCCCGTGGTAAGCTTCGTCCGAAACCACGTGAAGGTCTACATAAGTACTTATATAGACCTTGCGTGTAACTACACGTGTTCCCTCGCCCGACTCACCACCACACTCGCCCCTGGCATGAATACCGGTTCGCTTCTCGGAAGTTGGGATGGTCGTGACTCACGCTATGGTAAATCATGGAGTCATTCATGACAAATAGGCATGAACGGGTATATTGAGTCATTCATGACAAATAGGCATGAACGGGTATATTGTACCGGTTTTTAAATTAAGGTAATGTTTTATTAATCAAAAACTCATCGTCGCCTCCTAATACAACCTTTTTGCCATCATCGCGCGGCTGACAACAAGCACCAAGTCCCCTCCTGAACGGAGAGCTCAGTACTGTTCATGTGTCCTCTGCCAAGCACGCTCTCAGGATCGCGATACGCTGAGAAAACAAGTCCCATGCGATGCATCAGCAGCCCTAACAACCGTGTCCTCCTATCTATGAGCCTTTCACGGGCGTCTACTTCGAACCCTCTGCATCGCATTTTTAGACTTTCAGCATTATAAAAGGAAAATATACCCTTCTTGGCTAAAGGCATGCCCAGTCGCGACCACCTCTTCAAGTGATTTCTAACTACGTTCTCACTTTTTCGTGCCATCATCAGAAACGGAGTGACCTAGTTGTCCTCTTGCATCTTGCATCAAACAATCCTCATCAATCTGCATGATGCTCAGCCCACGTGGCCAGACCCACGCCACTTGGTCACGTGACGGACGTTCTTCCTCATCCCTCGGCACTGGGCACCCGCGTAGGGGCTCACCCTCATGCCTCTCTCGTTCACACTTCACCCGGCAGCTTCCAGCAGATTTGGTCTTTTCCTAACCTCTCCTCGCGCCCTTTGAGCTCACTTGCTTGCCGCCTGGACAAGGGCCGCCTCTCATCTCCATTAAGAAAACCAGATATCTAATGATCATCTTCAATAATCTTGGTCCTCAAACCTTTCCGCCACAGGGATCAAGTAACTATTGATCGTGTTGTGATTCACGCTTATTGACGACCTGCTAAACACCAAGCCAACCCAACAGGAAAACGGCCACTATCAAAAAATGCAATTAAATCGCGACGTTTCGAACTCGTCGGATGAGGAACTCTGGGGGAGCACGAAAAGCCATAATTGCATTGAATTTCCCGTCGTGGCTGCTTTCCTTTCCACCTTTGTGTACTAGTTACTGCATTTATGTTTGCTGACACGAATCCATTTGTTCTCCGGTGTTCCATGCTTGCTTTTCTCCCGTCAAATGGCCCATCACTCAAGTTGTTCTTAAACAAACACTTAATTCAAAGAGTGTATGTGTATATATATATATATATATATATATATATATATATATATATATATATATATATATATAATATATATATATATATATACACGTGTATGTGTATGTGTATATATGCATATGCGTGTGTGCGTGCGAAAGTGTGTATGCGTGAGTGTGTGTATATGTAATTGTATACATACGTATATGCGTATGTGTGTATATACACATTTATATATACACATCTCTAAATTTCCATACTTATATACATATATACATATTTCTATATACACATATGCATCACACACACACACACACACACACACACACACACACACACACACACACACACACACACACACACACACACACACACACATATATATATATATATATATATATATATATATATATATATATATATATATATATATATATATATATATATATGCATATATATGCATATATATGCATATATATGCATATGTCTATATCTCACACACACAATTATATATATATATATATAATATATATATATATATATATATATATATATATATATTTATATATATATATATATATATATATATATATATATATATATATATATATATAATCATATATAATGTATATATAAGCATGTATCTATATGTGCTTACGAATGTGCATAAGTATGTGTGGTATACACGTATGTATGTATGTATGCATATGTACCTTTATGTCTCTATATGCATATGCATGTGTATGTATACAGTATGCGTACGCCTGCATGTATATGTATGTGTGCGCAAGAAAATCAAACAAGGAAAAACAAAGACGTCGCTATCTGCCATCCGATCGCCGTCTCCTTACCTCATCCGACAGATTGTAGTTCCCCTTCAGGATCTTCTTGTAGAGGCGGATCCTGTCGGCGTCGAAGAAGGGGAAGTCGCCCCGCAGCAGGATGTACGTGATCACGCCCACCGCCCACAGGTCCACGGCGTTGGTGTAGCGCCGCCTGGCCACCATCTCAGGGGCGATGTACTCTGGGGTCCCGCAGATGGTGTTCATCAGCAGGTCATCCGCCGACCTGCAACGGGAAACCGACAGTGAGCCAACACTGCATTCTCGGTAAGCAAATCTCTATGAAAGTCAGTGCATTCTCGTAAACAAATCTCGACATGAAAGACACTGCATTCTCGGTAAGCAAATCTCTATGAAAGTCACTGCATTCTCGGTAAGCAAATCTCTATGAAAGTCACTGCATTCTCGGTAAGCAAATCTCTATGAAAGTCACTGCATTCTCGGTAAGCAAATCTCTATGAAAGTCACATTCTCGGTAAGCAAATCTCTATGAAAGTCACTGGTAAGCAAATCTCTATGAAAGTCACTGCATTCTCGGTAAGCAAATCTCTATGAAAGTCACTGCAAAGCAAATCTCTCTGCATTCTCGGTAAGCAAATCTCTATGAAAGTCACTGCATTCTCGGTAAGCAAATCTCTATGAAAGTCAGGCATTCTCGGGCAAATATGAAAGTCACTGCATTCTCGGTAAGCAAATCTCTATGAAAGTCACTGCATTCTCGGTAAGCAAATCTCTATGAAACTGCATTCTCGGTAAGCAAATCTCTATGAAAGTCACTGCATTCTCGGTAAGCAAATCTCTATGAAAGTCACTGCATTCTCGGAAAGCAAATCTCTATGAAAGTCACTGCATTCCCGGTAAGCAAATCTCTCACTGCATTAAAGCAAATCTCTATGAAAGACACTGCATTCTCGGTAAGCAAATCTCTATGAAAGTCACTGCATTCTCGGTAAGCAAAATCTCTATGAAAGTCACTGCATTCTCGGTAAGCAAATCTCTATGAAAGTCACTGCATTCTCGGTAAGCAAATCTCTATGAAAGACACTGCATTCTCGGTAAGCAAATCTCTATGAATGCATTCTCGGCAAATCTCTATGAAAGACACTGCATTCTCGGTAAGCAAATCTCTATGAAACACTGCATTCTCGCAAATCTCTCATGCATTCTCGGTAAGCAAATCTCTATGAAAGACACACATCTCTCGGCAAATCTCTATGAAAGTCACTGCATTCTCGGTAAGCTCTCCACTGCATTTCTCGGTAAGCAAATCTCTATGAAAGTCACTCCATTCTCGGTAAGCAAATCTCTATGAAAGACACTGCATTCTCGGTAAGCAAATCTCTATGAAAGTCAATTCTCTAAGCAAATCTCTATGAAAGACACTATTCTCGGTAAGCAAATCTCTATGAAAGGTAAGCAAATCTCTATGAAAGTCACTCCATTCTCGGTAACAAATCTATGAATGCATTCTCGGTAAGCAAATGCAATCACTGCATTCTCGGTAAGCAAAATCTCTATGAAAGTCACTGCATTCTCGGTAAGCAAATCTCTATGAAAGTCACTGCATTCTCGGTAAGCAAATCTCTATGAAAGTCAGTGCATTCTCGGTAAGCAAATCTCTATGAAAGTCACTCATTCTCGGTAAGCAATCTCTATGAAAGTCACTGCATTCTCGGTAAGCAAATCTCTATGAAAGTCACTGCATTCTCGGTAAGCAAATCTCTATGAAAGACACTGCATTCTCGGTAAGCAAATCTCTATGAAAGTCACTGCATTCTCGGTAAGCAAATCTCTATGAAAGTGCATTCTCGGTAAACAAATCTATGAAAGTCAATTCTCGGTAAGCAAAATCTCTATGAAAGTCACTGCATTCTCGTCTCTATCAAAGTCACTGCATTCTCGGTAAGCAAATCTCACTCATTCTCGGTAAGCAAAATCTCTATGAAAGTCACTCCATTCTCGGTAAGCAAATCTCTATGAAAGTCACTGCATTCTCGGTAAGCAAAATCTCTATGAAAGTCACTGAGAAAGTCACTCCATTCTCGCAAATCTCGTCACTCCATTCCCGGTAAGCAAATCTCTATGAAAGGCATTCTCGGTAAGCAAATATCAGCATGAGTCACTGCATTCTCGATAAGCAAAGGTCGGCATGAAAGCCACAGCATGCACGGTAATCAAATGGACTTCAACCCAGACTGTTGACGGCTATGACGATTATCAGAACTTGTGACAATCAATACAACCCGCTGCCGGTGTTGGCGCTCTACAAGGTTTACAACGCTTGCTTAAATATCGAACACGGCGATCACTACAGAAAGGCATGAATGAGAGTGAATGTCTCCACAGTGCAAGAGATGTATATGACAGATCAAAATTATATATTGCCCAGTGAAGATAATAATTTTCACTTATACCTTTCTACATTAGAACGTCTACTTCTGGGTTTAAAATCCCTCCACACAATTAGAAGTCAGGGCCATCTTACACTTGCGGTACTTTCAGTCTTCCTAAATGCGGAAAGGAAATGGAAGTCCATCACAATCTACGTGTCCATTTCTTCTTTTTCTTCTTCATCCTCTTTTTCTTCTTCTCTTTCTGCTTTATTTCACCTTCTTTCTATATCCATTAATTCTTCTTTCTTACCCTCCTCCTCTTCTTCCTCTTCCTACTCCTCCTCCTCCTCATTCTCATTCTCTTCCTCCTTTCTCCTTCTTCTCCTCCTCCTCCTCCTCATTTTATCCTGCTCTTCCTCCTTATTATCATTATTAATGTTTTTCCTCCTTCTCTTTCTCCCATTTCTCTTCCTCCATTCTTTTCCATCCTCTATCAACCATTTTCTTTCCTTGCGGCTGCATAGGTCTGAAGGCGGAATCCAAGAGAATTTTGAAACCGTTTCGCCTCTCACAAGTACATTTTGCCAAATTCGTTCACTTGACATCATGTTGCCGGAAAACCCAGTCTGATTAAGCAATATCAATTTTCTAGACTTTTTCATCAGACTAGGAAGTCAACAGATGGATGGTGACAAGACTATTGAAAGCTCTTGATACGAGGATCCCGTAGAAGGACCAGGTAAAGCGCCTGTAAAAGGTCCTGATATTGCTGGTCTTACTGACTTCCCTTGCCTCTGAGTCGCGTCTTGGCACCTTTTGAATCAGAACCTCACGTCGGATCATGAAGTAAAGTAGCCAGGACTAGCTGTTCAATTAACGACTCCTCCGTAAGTCTGGCAGATCGACCAAACCTGTAGAGAGGAAGTCCAGATAGTCCGGCTCCCGTGCGGGTGGAAGGGAAGGGGGTGCGCCCTCCTCAGCGGTACACCCACGTTTGTGTTGCTGTCTTTTATCAGACCATTTCCACTGAAATACTTAAATTCGCAATGAGCAACCACCAATATTGGGGTTCACCTGATCGGGATCCTGGGCTGCGAAGTAATAAAGTGTGGCCTGCAAACAAAACCATTCTCTCTCTCTCTCTCTCTCTCTCTCTCTCTCTCTCTCTCTCTCTCTCTATATATATATATATATATATATATATATATATTATATATATATATATATATATGAATCAAAACACTACAAACTGGGCATGGCACACTCGTTAATAACTTGCAAATGCCCTGGATACTTAAATATTAAAACTTTATGAAAGTTCACCCACGTGTCAAAGCAGAGCCGACCAGGTTGTACTTCCTTCATTTACAACACCATTCATCTACGGTGTACCATATTCCGATTGACTTCGGTCACTAATAATTCGAGAAACAAAATTTTCCGATGTTCACTGAACTGCGATGCCTAATGATGGCAATACCAAGGTAGGGCATCGTGGTTTAATCTGCTAATTCATTAAATCCAATCAAGTTTTTGTTTCTCCCCTGGCCGAATCCTCTTTCAAAAGGATATCGAAATCCCATTGTGGTCTCTCTCTCTTCTCTCTCTCTCTCTCTCTCTCTCTCTCTCTCTCTTCTCTCTCTTTCTCTCTCTCTCTCTCTCTCTCTCTCTCTCTCTCTCTCTCTCTCTCTCTCTCTCTCTCTCTCTCTCTCTCTTTACTCATTTCCCAAAGAAAGGTATTCTTTATCATGCTATGGTTTGGAATCATTGCTGGGAGGCTTTCCGACAAGGTGAATAATAATAGATAAGTGTCCCGGCTGCAGAGCGCGTCGCATCTCTCATTTTCCCGAAGTTCAACCCGTGGCAACTGTATCACAACGACAATGATAATCTCACATATTTCTACGACGTTTGGGTTCTCTGTAGAGAAATGTATCTTCACCATCTTTCTAAATAGCCAAGTCTTCGCAATATTCGCCTCGGAGAACTACGCATCACTGTCACCACTCAGTGCGTCTCCGTAAATGTCATCTGTAGTCCTTGCTTATATTTTGATCACCATCGCCATTCCCATCTTTTTCTTAAGTCCCTACTCTCCCATCTGTTTCCGAACTCTCCCGCCATCTTCAGTGCTCATGTCCCAAAGAAAAGTATTCGATATCACACTATGGTTTGTGATCATGCCGGGAGACCTTCCGACAAAGATGACGGGCAAGCGCAACGCGTCGCGGGAATACGATGCGTGAGTTCGAAGAATAAGGGCGCGTCCACACCAAAGACAAAACGCGGTGGGAACATTAAGACTGACAAGTTGGGTAACAAGTTGTTAAGTCGTTGAGGAACATCGTAGTAGACATGTTGGTACGGATTTGTTGGGCGACATGTTAGCAGTCCTGGCGTGGACGAGGTGACTTCGTCCACACCAGACCTCCCACCAACCAACAGACCAACATGGTGTGGGCAGTTTCACCAAGTCGACTCTAATTACAGACATGTCTCTCAACACTGTAACAGATATGTCCCCATACATATCAAGAGATTTGTATCCGGATGTCTCCTATGGCGTCCCCCAAAATGTTTCCAATTTGTCTCCAAGCAACATGGTCACCGGTGTGGACACACCCTGAGGCTTCACTTTCCCCGAAGTCCGCGAATTCACAGACCATCATGTTATTCAGCCCCGCGAGGAGCACTCCCACAGACCGCCGAGGCCCCCTTCACGACCCCTAGCACAGACAAGAGAATTTTCCTGTTCTGTCTTATATTTTACAATAGCACAGTTTCTTATGCCAAGCTCAATCCGCTATAATCTGTACCGTTAAAAACACGCAAAAAATGAATAAGAATATTCACTGAATAAGGGAGAGAGGAGGAATAGGAAATGGGGGAAGGG